TATACACCCAAAATGACCTATAGAAGAATTAAAGAGTATAAAATTTTGAAGAAAACAAAAAATAGAGTGCTGCCTTTATTCCTGTGTTACTTACGATATTTTTTATTTCTAATGCACAAAAGTGGCGATTTCAGATAGCAGACGACAGGGAGTAAAAGTCATTCACTTGTTCGAGTTATATGAAAATGGTGGCCGTTTTCTCCCATGGGCAAAAATAACGCATGGGATCAGCTGTTATGTTTGCCTCTTGGGAGAAAATGGACGCCATTTTTATATGGTCGAACAAATGAGTGACTTTACTCCCTGTCGTCAGCTATCTAAAAGCGCCATTTTTGTGCATGTAGGATAAAAAAAATTTTTATTTTAGTTTTTGAAAAATAGAAAGTGTTTTGTGTATTTAACGCATATATATTACTGAAAATAAATTGAAGTTGACAAAATTCTGAGTAAATCTGTCGTTGAACTATCATTCTATTTCTAATAGGATCGGAGTTACGATTTTTTAAAAATGGCCCTTTTTTGGAATTTTTTTTTAAATATTTTTTTTTTAAATTGTTACATTTTGCAGGATGTTAATTGTAAAAATGCTCTTATCATATGGTTTTATCTTATATTTTAAAGAAATAAAAGCCCAATTAAATTTTTAAATTTCCAAACTTAAAACCTTATAAAATAACAATACAGAAATTGTTTGCAAACTCACGTTTATTGATTTTAGAAAATTTGTAATAGACATCAAATTCATGACTCTAAACATGTTAATAAAATAAATGTGATGAATCTAATTTAAAATTTAAAAACATCAACCAATATCAATACCAATTTCATAAAAATTAGTTGTATTTATATTAAAAAGTAGCTACAAAAAGTGTCACATCAATTTGACAAAAATTAAAAAAATTTGCATTTTTTGAAATTTGTAAAAAAAAGCTATAACTTTCGATCAGCTTAATATTTTTCAATCGGATATGGATAGAAATTTAAGTTAGACTAAGACCAAAGAGACTGTAAAGTTTCGTTTTTATCGGTCAAGTAGTCTTTGTGTTCATCGCGGACAGACGCATACATACATACATAATTTTATTTATTGTCATTTTGGGAATTCTTACTACTCGAATAGAAAAACTAAACATGAATAGTCAAATTCTATGCAATGTACAGGCATAAGTCTGATCTTATTTATAATAATACAAGTCTTCACTCATTTTGAAAGTTAATATTGTTTTCATGATGTTCATTAAAAGTTTTTGTTCCTAAATAATTAATTGGGCTTTTATTTCTTTATAATATAAGATAAAACTATATGATGAGAGCATTTTTACAATTAACATCCTGCAAAATGTAACAATTTCAAAAAAAACAAATAAAAAAAAATTCCAAAGAAATAGCTATTTTAAAAAAAATCGTAACTCCGATCCTATTGGAGATAGAATGATACTTCAACGACGGATTTACTCAGAATTTAGTCTACTTCAATTTATTTTCAGTAATATATATGCGTTAGATACACAAAACACTTTCTATTTTTCAAAAACTAAAATAAAAAATTTTTTCGCGATATTTTTTGCTAAAATATGACTTTAGAAGGTCATAAATCCGGAAGATTTAATGATAAAGCACTCTATTTTTTTTGTTTTCTTCAAAATTTTATACTCTTTAATTCTTCTATAGGTCATCTTAGGTGTATGTGTACTGGGAGAGAGCAATATTCAAAAAACTCCATTTTTTACCTGTTTTTTACAGTTTTGAATTAAATTTTCTGGTATAAAGTTACTTAAAGATACTCAGTACCTAGGACCTATTTTCTGATATCATTTTTAATGACTCAAATAGATGTGGCGATTATTTGCATTTATTTTAAGAAAAATATGTTGATTAACCTCTTTCAAAAATGTTAAAAATCAGTTTTTTTAAAAACGGCCCAACTGATTTTTTTCATTTTATGCTTAAAATCATCAGGGGGCATCCCAGAAACAAAAGCATAAGAAAGAACCGATCTGGGCAAGAACTTCTGGGTTGAAGTTAATTAAGACCCGCCGTGATTGAAGAATTTACGAATAATTTAAATTTTGTAAAATTGAATTATAAAACAAATAAATTTGAAAATTGAAAAAAGAACTTTTTCAAAAATTATTAAAAAATAGTGCATTTATAGAAGAATTTTTTTTTTAAACACGAAAAAAAATTTAATTTTAGAAAAGTTACAAATTATTGCAGAAATTCAATTATTTTCAAGAGAAGGTAAAAATATTCTTCCCAAAAATTAAATATTGTTCTAAAACAATGAAATTCTTCTTAGGGCTTCAATTATTTTCACAAATAATAAAACTCATCGCTGAATTTAATTATTTTTAATAGGGGAGAGTGGGGCAAACCGGCCCGGTGGGTAAACCGGCCAGGGGTCAATATCTCCAAAATAGCGAAATTGTCAAAAGTGCTATTTAGAAATTTGAAACAACCATGAGTAGTATACCTTATTTTTTCAATTTGACAATTTTTACTTTTGTATGTGCAACGCCGGGAGCAAAAGTTTTTTTTTTAGTTTTTTATACACTTTTACGAATTTTGAGGAAATCGTGTAATATTTCCAAATATTAGGTCTTGGGATTTGAAGGTACACACCTCAGGAATATTTACCACCAAAAACTTTGATCAATTTGCAAAGCGTTTCTTTTAAACAAATATTTATTCTCAAAATGAGCCTGTGGGGCAAACCGGCCATAGGATATTTTCATTGTATCAGAGTTTCAAAAAAATTATTATTAATTAGAATGTTTTTTTCATTAAAATATTTACTTTCAATGACAAATAATTATCTTCCAATGAGAATTAGATTCTTTAATATTGTTTCTCTGATAATTTCAAACCTTTTTTTTGTTATTTAAAAAAATTATTTATTTAATTAAAATTCAATCCTGTATTATTATTTACATTATTACAACCATTGTTCACGTGATTCTTTATGTTTGTTGTTATTGTAGATTATACAAATGCAATATTGTAAATAAAAAACCTAACTGACCGGTTTGCCCCACGGGGTGGCCGGTTTACCCCAGGGGGTGGGGCAAACCGGCCCGTTTGCAAATTTTTTTAAAGTTAACACAGTAACTAAACAATAAAAGATAAAGTATATATGTGCCTCTGGGAAAAAGTTGCGCAATTAAATGATCTTTCAAACAAGCCATCGAAAAATGAAATCGGTTGATTCGTTTAGTCACAAGAGTCAAAAAACCGTAGGTATGGCCGGTTTTCCCCACTCTCCCCTACAATTGTAATCAAATTTCTTGAGAAATATAATTATTTTTAAAAATTTTATTAAAATTCGTCGAAAAAATTCAATTATTTAAAAATTTGTTAATAAAATTCTTTATGGGTATTGAATTTTAAGAAACATTCAATTTTTCAATAAATTATTTATTTTTGTATTTAAATAATTGAATTCTTGCAGAATTTTCTAATAAAAATTGATTTAAAAATGAATTTCAGTTCAAATTTTAGATTATAATTAAATATTAAGGTAGTAGTCGCGCTGCTGGCTCTGGCCAAAAGTTTACCGGGCCGCTTACTAGAGTGGGGCAGTGAGAGTGAGAGAGATAGTTTAACTCCCCACTCTATTCGTTCGTATGAAAATTCATATAATTTAGTTATTTTTTTTAACTTTCTGTCAATATATTTATAGTTTGGTGCGGTCAAAAAATGTCATGTTTTTTCTATTCATTTGTTTCATCTAATCGAATACTTTGGTAGTTTTATTTCAAAATCTGACGATTAGTTATCATATAAATAATTATTAAACAAAATTAATACATGCATTGGGTGCTTTCTCCATGCAAAATGTATGAACTTTGAATTCATTTTTTGAAGCTTTGAAACGGTCAAAATTAATGAAATTGGTCTCATTCTGTAGATAAATACTTCAGGAATAAGTATGCAAAATTTGAAAAAAATCTGACGAAAACCATTTTACGCGACTAATACCTTAATAAAGCATTAGAGCGTAAAATTTTAGAAATAATTAAATTTTGAAATTAATTTTTTTGAAAAAGTTTAATTGGATTTTTTTTATATTATTAAAAATTTTTATTTTCTACTATAGTAAAAAATAAAAATTTTAAATGAACAAACAAATGGATTTGAAAATTGTCTAAGAACTTTTTTGAAAATTATTAAAAATAATCGATTTAAAGAAGAATTTTAGTTAAAAATTCTGGAAAAAAATAATTGAATTGATAATGATTTTATCACTCGGTCATCTTTAATTATTATTAACATGAAGAAATCGATCACCTAGTCGGAGACTCGGAGTTATCGAATATCTTCATGTTTTATAGTTATGAAAAATTTAATTTGTACTTTGAAGTAAAATGTTCTCTTATTTGACTCGGATTGCTTATATTTTTGTCAGTATAATTGTTTTGTAAATGGTCTATAATTTTTAATTTTTGGTCCGTAAAGTTCGAATTTTTAAATACTTTCACTGGTTCGAGTAAAGTAAATTATTTGGGTTGAGTGTATAATTAAAAATTTGTATCGTGCAAACATTTGCAATATCTAATTTTTACACTGCTATTTTTTCCTCGATAATACTTTTTATAAAGGAGAAAAATCGAAAAAATAAAAAACAAGTGCGCATTTTCTTGTAGATTGCGCGCCGCATTCATTTTCGATTTTCGAGATAAAATGTACTAATTGGAACAGGATAAAGAAGTACCTACCTTCAGCGAGAAACGGCCTTTCTCCCCTGCATTTAAAATATTTCGGCTGTGGTATCTAATTGACGAAGGACGTCGATTTTGTTCGGGGAGCTTGGTAGTTTCTCTCCCGTAAGGTTGTCCAATTAGAAGATTTCTTTGTCGAAGGGTTTCCGACTCCTTATTCGTTTTCAGACGTGGAGGTTCATTATGGATGTAGAAAAAAATGGACCTCGTGGTTTCTCTCCTGCTCTCGCAGACTTCCTTTTTTCGGTCCATGAGCTGAATCGTTTGAATCTCGCAGTTTTGCCCGCGCTCTCGACTCTCATTTCTTCAGTGCTTACTACTCTTCAGTCTCTCACTGGCCGCCGAGTCGTGAGGTACGGAATTCTTCATGTAGCATATCGCTCTCGAAACGCCGGCTTTTCACGTGGACACTTCTGTGTTTTTCGTCTATCTTGTCAACTGAAAATAGATCAAAATCAGATAATAAACATTGAGAAAAAATTAATTCTTGTTTGTGCCAGGATTTATCATTAAGGATTAAATTTTATTTTCAATTATGTAAATTATCGTATTGTTTATAATAAAGTGTTTGGTGTGTGAATATGTGTGCGTTCGACTAGTGTATTTTAATGAATCTGCATAATCATAAAAAGAAATCCAAGAGTTCTTTATTATCTTAGAGGAAGGTCATCGTCGTGTTATGTAAATTATCATAGTGTTAGTGGAAAATATATTGTTTGGCACTTTGTTAAATATTGTGATTGCAAAACGAAAACAGTGTTTTAAAATACACTTAAAAATACTTTTTTTACTCATTGGAAATTTAAATACGGTTCGAATTGAAGTTTTTCCCGCCAATCATCTGTAGGTGAGTTAACTGATATTATTTGTTTTTCTTTTTCTTCAGTTACAATTTTCATGTGGTTTTGCCTTGGTTTGTACCGGTTCTCATTCGAGGTAGTGAATCAATGGGCAAAAAACTAGAAACCTTCGAATGACATCGTGATCCCGTTCTGGGTTGGGAAAAACAGTTTGCGAACTTGTAATCGACTCGGTTGCGTTGCCAATAAGCACGTGGCTATTGTTTTGAAATAAGTAATTGTCATTTTTTCGACGGGAAAAATAATTCCACTCTTCATATTTCAAATTATCCATCTTTTAATTATTATTGTCAATTAAATTATTATTATTATTTTAATTTGCAAAAAAAATTATTTTATCAACATTTAATTTTTCAATTTATGCATAATTATTGAATTTTTTTCACAATTAGTACAGAAATTTTGCAATATTTTTCGGAGTAATCATAGTAAATGGCGGGAGGTCAAAATTTAACAAGATGTTTAAAGTAAAATAATTTGTTATAAAACTGTTTATTATTTAGTTATTATTATAGTTTTTATGTTCTATTAAGTAAAATTTTGTTTGCACTTTAATGGAAATTTTATAAAAACTTAAAATATTTTAAGCGTTTAATAAAGTTTTTAATATATTCTCATGAAACTTATTTAAAATGATGAGTCAATTACATATACATAAAAATTTTAATTCTTATGAAAATTAATTTTTTCATTAATATAAACTCATTCCGAATGTTTTTTATAGAATTATATAATTTTTATATTTAATATGTATATCCACGTGTTTTTTCGAAATAATTAATGAGAAATTCAGTTTACGAAAGAATCGGAAGTGACAAGAAACTCAACCTTCAGGTGGGTATTGAATTAGAATCAAAAAATAGAAAAATACATTAATACACATTTTTTATAGAAGTGTTCAATAATATATATGTATAAATTTATTAATTTTTAGTCATCTATTCTAAAATTTTTTTTTATTTTTGAATATATATGTAGAAACAATTTACAATTACATGTATTTTATTATCTATTTGTGAATTGGAAAAATTTTAAGAGACATATATTTGAATTCTTTGTTTTTTCAATTTACAAAATGAAAATAGTTTCCTTTGATAAGCAATTTCAAGTCTTCACATGAATATGACACATTAATTTGCTTTTAGCAAAAAAGAAGAAAATAAGCAATCAACTTTGTACCTTTCCCACGTTTCTTTTTCAAGTTTTCAATATTTTTAAAATCCTGTTTTTTACATTTTTAACAATTTTACCATATTATTCTTTCATGTTTTTCAAACGAGTGCTTATTTCCTCATAGATAATTTTTAATATTCCGTTTTTATTTTCCTCTTCTAACAGCTTAAATATTAATTAAATTTTGATTAATTGAATAATTTTTGTTTAAGGAAATTTTCCAATGTTGTAGTTGATATTACAGTCAACTCTGTGTTAATATCGCCGGTACATCCCCCCACCTCCTGATTGGTGTTAGTTTATAATTATTTATGAAAAACCACATAATTAAATTTTTTATTTTTTATACTGTGGAGAAGTTATTTACATGTACAATATGTAAGTTTAAAAAAATTTTTAAATATTATTATTTTAAAATAAATATAGATAAAACATAGAAGCAATTTGTACAATTTTGCATGGTTTATAAATATATTATTATTTGTAGAGTTGTTTTCGTTGAAAAAAAATTTACTTTACATTGCGAAAACATTTATTACGTTTATTATCCGTGGACAAAAATTCTCCCATGAAGAATTCTCGTTAGCAAACAATATAAATATGAATTTTTATGTTTTGTCTGACCGCATTTACCTGAGTCTTTGGTAGCAGCAGTTATACGTTACAACTCTTTCTTATCTTAACGTAAGCTTCTTATCGGGTTTGTTGTCACTTGAACCGACGCTGCTGTAGCTAAACCCAATGAGCGAAATGTACAAATATTTTATATTTACAAATTATTTGTGTCATTTCGTCTATTAGTCATTTTTATACAAGTTTCGCAGTTTCTTGATAGAGTTTTATTATTTTTATTATCATTTTATGACTTTTTTCATTTCTGTTATATTAGAAAGAATAGTTTTTAAATTTTATAAAAGTATTTTTTAATTCAGAGACGATGTTGAAAAGAAAAATTTTAATATGAGAATTTCTAATTTTTAACAAGTCTTCTATGAAATTATATATAAAGTTTGATTAAAAAGTGAGAACATGATTTTAAACTTTACTAAGGCTTGTGTTCAGTTTTATACAATATTTAATAAAATTTTTTCGCATTTTATCACACTATCTCTAAATTGTAAAATACTTTTATAACTTTCAAATTTGAATTTCTATCGCTTGACGCATCTAGTCAAAACAGTGAGCAATATTTAATGATTTGACTAACTTAATAACGTAAAACGTTCAACGCCGAATTGTTTCTAACCTGTGATGAAAATTATCATTTGAATTTCGCGCTCAAATTTAATGTGTATATAGTGTATGCAACGTTTCCAAACCTATTGATAATTGTTTTAACAGATATGTAATTATTGTATATCGGTTTTTATATTTAAAAAAATTATATCAATATCTGTTCGTTTAATACTTTGCAGTATGTAAATATAGGTATGTAAAATTTAATAAAGTTTTATTAAAATTTAATAAATAATCTTGATACAGGCAAACCTTTCTACGGCGGACTTCTATGCGGCGGAAACTCGCCCGGTAGAAGTAGAAGGGATTATATCAGTGACAGTTGTGACTGTGTGAGTGCAATGAAATTCAGGGCCGAATAGTTCCGAATTGTAATTTTTATACAAATGTTTTTCTATTGAAATTATTTAATTTATATTTGATTTATAATTTTTGTTTATTTTGTAATATATTTTATATATTATAAAAAATAAACATAAAAAATGATAAAATAAATAAAAAAACAAATCAAAATTCCTTCGTACACATGTATAAATTTAAAAAATAAAAAAATCTAGCTTACATTAAAAAAGCTGTGTATTAACATAAAATTTTATTTCTTACTGCACATGAAAAAAAAATTTCTAAAAATGCACATGAAAAAAAACTACAAACTCAAAGAAAAACATAAGTGTCCTAACATTTTTTTAAAGTTATGCTCAAAAAACGATTTTTTATAAAATTAAAAATGCCAAATAAATATAGTTAAACTTTAAGAAAAGGGCTAAAAATACTCTCATTTCATGTCTTCCGGGCAAACCTAAAATGTCAAAATACATCGAAATACAGTAGAACCTCGATAAGTCGAAGTTGAAGGGAAACGGTGAAAACTTCGAGTTAAAGAGGTTTCGACTTATAGAGGTTTTCATACATTGTATATTTATTGAACATTAAAAGAAATCTGTAATTTTTGTTTGCCTTAAAGATTCCGAACACTGTTTGATAACAATTGTATTGTATTAGCTTCTAGATATAGAGGTTCCGAAAAACAAAACCTTAGAGTTACAGAGGTTTAAAAGGGCCATATGTACTAACTTCGAGTTATAGAGGTTGCAAAACTGAACTTCGAGTTATAGAGGTTAAAATACATGGAAAAGTTGTTGAAGGGAAATAAAAATTACTTCGAGTTATATAGAGGTTGAAAAGTTCGAGTTACAGAGGTTTTTGGGCTTCTAGGGAAGGGAATAGACATTTTCTTCGACTTACAGAGGTTTTCGACTTATCGAGGTTCTACTGTATATGTCAAAAAATCATAATCGCAAATTTCCACCAATACAATCCTTCTTCTATGAGGAAGCAATAGATTTTCGTTTTACTGAATACTAACACTAACGTTATTTGTTTTCGATTTGATAAACATTTTGAAATTCATCAACTTTTACTTTCAATGAAGAGTGAACGAATCGAAGAATGAGATAATGGCATCCAATTGGTTACACAGAGTTTAATTTCTCCGTTTTCTATGGCGCAAATGTCGCTTGAGGATCGTATAATGAAAGTTTGGAGACTTTTGACAAACGGTGGTTGAAACTTTACGCTGATTATATTCTAGTTTGCAATTTCGGATCTAATTATCGAATTCTGTCATTTTGATTGCATTTTATCATGTCACTGAAAAATTGAACACTTTTTCTCCACCCTTTTCCTCTCCTACAAATGTCAAGAAACCTTAAGTTCCTTCGCAGTACAAAGTCGGATGTAATTATCGAATTCTTAATTCTCTTTGCACTTTATCATTTCACTGGGAGCAATTGTTTCCCTTTACCTTATATTGTTAGAATTGTCATTATTCCCTTAAAATGCAGGAATTTCGCTTCATGGATATTTCTCTTTATGAATATTTCTCTTTGTCAATTAAAAACTTTCTGAATTGTAAATAATTATTCTTCTGTAATTTAAATTTATGTAAAAATTAATGTATTAATTATATTAATTTTAATGCTAAGAAACTTAGTTAATATATTCCTCTATATTTCAATTTTCCGAAATATTTTTTCTTCATATTGTAAAATTTTTAAGCCGAACTAACCAAGATTAAATAGTCTCTATTTTGTTGTAACAAAGTTCGTAATTTGATTTTTGAAACTTTCATCAATATTTGATTTAAATTCGCTTTGTGAAGTTAATTGTTAATCATAGAATTAATTAAAGAAAATACTCACAAAAGAGGAAAAGAAAGAGAGAGTGTGTGTTAAGGGGGAAGGGGGTATTTTAAAAGATTTTCGTCCCATGTGCAATTTCGTTTCACGTGCATGGCTATTCAATATCAAATGGCTTTCAGTCCCAGAGGTAGTTACTTGCTTTTTGTCCTCTATGAAAGTCGCGGGTGATGAGGCAGACCTCATGAGCTGTCAGCGCGCTTCTAGCTGGTGGCAAACGATAACATCGCAAACTGACCCACATTTGCGAGAGAAAAGCTCTCTAATGAAAACATAAAAATTAAAAAAATCCTCTTCATTTTTCATTAACCCTTCTTTTTTTCTCCTTTTTTCCCCTTATATCCTCTATACGATAGAGAGGACGTGCAAACATTACATTC